TTTCCATCCCAAAAAATCCCCAGTTTCCATCACCAAAATCCACAGTTTCCATCCCCAAAATCCCCATTTTCCATCCCAAAAATCCCCATTTTCCATCCCAAAAATCCCCATTTTCCATCCCAAAAATCCCCAGTTTCCATCCCAAAAAATCCCCAGTTTCCATCACCAAAATCCCCAGTTTCCATCCCAAAAAATCCCCAGTTTCCATCCCAAAAATCCCCAGTTTCCATCCCAAAAAATCCCCAGTTTCCATCCCAAAAAATCCCCAGTTTCCATCCCCAAAATCCCCATTTTCCATCCCAAAAATCCCCATTTTCCATCCCAAAAATCCCCAGTTTCCATCCCAAAAATCCCCATTTTCCATCCCAAAAATCCCCATTTTCCATCCCAAAAAATCCCCAGTTTCCATCACCAAAATCACCATTTTCCATCCCCAAAATCCCCATTTTCCATCCCAAAAAATCCCCATTTTCCATCCCCAAAATCCCCAGTTTCCATCCCCAAAAATCCCCATTTTCCATCCCCAAAATCCCCATTTTCTATCCCTTTTCCCTCCTGAATTTTTCCATATTTTCCCCTGACTTATTCCATATTTTCCTTTGATTTAGTCCATATTTTCCCTGATTTATTCCATTTTTTCCCCCAGTATCCGAAAGAACAACAAAGCAAATCCTGGGATTTTGGGGATGATTTTTCTCGATTTTCTGGGATTTTGTGATCGATTTTTCCCGATTTTCTGGGATTTTTGCGACCAATTTTTCCCGATTTCTGGGATTTTTGTGACCATTTTTTCCCGATTTTCTGGGATTTTATGACCAATTTTTCCCTATTTTCGGGGATTTTTGTGACCGATTTTTCCCAATTTTCAGGGATTTTCGCGACCGATTTTCCCCGATTTTCGGGGATTTTCACAACCGATTTTTCCCGATTTTCGGGGATTTTCACAACTGATTTTTCCCGATTTCTCCCCTGCGGGACTGAATGCAAATCCCGGGATTTGGGGCTGATTTTTCCCGTTTTCCCAGGAGCTGAAGGAGAAGATGCGCGAGCTGCTGCCGCTGCTGCCGGTGCTGGAGCAGTACAAGGCGGACTCGCGGCTCATCGTGCACCTCAAGGACGAGGTCCGGAATCTTTCGGGAATTCTCTTGGAAATCCAGGAGGAGATGGGCGCCTACGACTACGAGGAGCTGCAGCGGCGCGTGAAAAAAATGGAGGCGCGCCTGCACGCCTGCCTGCAGAAAAAAAAAACGGAAATCCCCAAAAATCCACCATTTGGGGTCAAAAAA